GGTTTCTTGTCTTTTCCTTCCGGGCCTCCCTCAGCGTTAGGCTCCTCAGCCTCACCTCCTGGCTCGCACGAGTGACACGGGTAGATCTTGGTGGGAGTAGGCGTTCCGCCAAGTATTGAGGCCCTAAACTGTTTAGGGCTTTGTACGTGAGCATCATCACTTTGAAGTCGATACGGAAACGGATGGGCAGCCAGTGCAGTGCGGCCACAGTGGGTGAGATATGTTGGAATTTTTTCACTCCACTAAGTAATCTGGCCGCCGCGTTCTGCACCACCTGTAGTTTCCACAGCAGCCTCAAAGGTAGCCCCACATAGAGCAGATTACAGTAGTCTAATCTTGAGATTACGAGCGCATGCACCAAGGTGGTGAGTGCCCCAACATCAAGGTAGGCACATACTGTACCTTTTTGAGGTCCAGATAATAATAATGCCAGCTTTCCTCTTAGAACACAGCAAGTTTCCTTTAAAAAGTAATGCTTCAAGCTTAAATCTAACATGCAACTCTGGAAGTGGCTTTCATGCTGCTAATTGTCTAAGGGGTGTAGAATTGGAATGAATCAAAGAACAGTAGTTGGAAAAATTATCTTTTAAATACTACAGCTTTCAGTGATGATGCTGGGCTAGAGATGTCTGGGAGCTGTGGTCCACAATGATGTTCCAAGCTTTGGCTAAGGACCTAATGTTGGAGAAACTGTCTCCGGAATATCCTTGTTAGCAACCTCTTTCCCCCATACTCTCCCTGTCTTCTGTTGGTGTCTCGGTCTTTGTCTCACACACACAAACTTGAGAAAGCACTTCAAAATAATGTTAAAAGCAAAGCAGTGGAATATTCTGTTTGATCTTACTCTTTTTGTTTTTGCTGAGATCAGCCTGAAGAGTTTGGATAGTATTTTCCAAAGCCGTAACTTTTCTTTGAATGGTGTCAACAGCTAAGAGGGAAAAAAAACAGTGACAAAAGGAATACAAACATTTCATTTTGTTTAAACAGAGATTTATCATCTAGACTGATTTCAGTCCCTAGCACCAAGATGCTATAAATTAGTCTGTTACATTAATATTGCTCTTTAGATGACTGTTACAGCCTTTTCTTCTCATGATAGAATTCAAGGCTATTTCTGTCGGCCCTCTGTAGTTCATCTGCTATCTCAGCACAACACCCAGCTTTGCTGAACTTCAGAAGAATTTCTGCATCTTTTGGCTTTTGTGGAACCCCTAATTCCATGTACAAATACAGAGTCGGAAACCCCTCAGCTTAAAAGAGATGGAAAATGTAGTTAAAGAAGGAGGAAGGAGGGACCACTTTATTCATGGGGTGGAGGTGGAGGAAGTAGCAGCTTGCTTCAATAAATGAGGGAAAAAATAGAATAAAGTTAAACTCAATTGCCTCCTGATGTTGTGGGTGCCCCATCACTGGAGGTTTTCAAGAAAAGATTGGATAGCCATCTGTCCGGGATGGTATGAGGTCTCCTGCCTTGGGCAGAGGGTTGGACGAGAAGACCTCCAAGGTTCCTTCCAACCCTACGGTGATTTTATGATTCTATGAATTATAGGAGCAATTGAGGAGTGAATTAAGCTGCTTAGGCTGGTTTGCAGCATTCCATTTCTTGAAGGGGCTTCCTTTATGCTTCTGCCATGTGAACGTACAGTAGAAGAGATGCCAACAGGGGGCAAATGATCTGTGGTGTACTTTCAGATTCTGTGGCTAAATATGTTCCACGTTTTGGCTAAGAACCTAATACATATGCCACAAGCCCAGTGGTGAGATGGGGAGGCATGATGGGGATGGGCAGATTCCTTCCTGCAGCCTATCATAGGCCAGATGACACTGGTGGAACAGTCATACTTTTAAGGTTATTTGGTTCCCAGTCAAATCTCCAAGTAGGTGTTTGGGGTGCAGACTCAGCATCTCCCTCCTCTGTCTAGGAAAGGAAGAGTGGGAGTGAAGGGTACTCAACTGGCACCCACAACTGCCAGCTAAAAGTCACTGGATTCCATCCTCCTTTTTCTTCTCCATTTGGGAAACGGGAGAAAGGAGGAAGTACTCTCAACCAAACTTCTGGACTCAGTTAGTGCCTGTAAATACCAGGAAGGCTACACAAGACTGGGCTTGGTGAGGGAGAGTTCATAGACTAGACTTTGACCCTCTACAGCAGAGGAGGCATTGCGGCCTGCAGGCTGTGGACAGCTCCCCAATACCCAGTGTGATGTAGTGGGCAGAGTGATACACTAGGGCTGAGGAAACCTGAATTTGAATCCCTACTCAGCTGTGGAAACTCACTGGGGGCATGGAACAAATAAAATATTTCCTTGAATATCTCTCTTACCTTGAAAGCCCTATTATAGTCCATCCGCCATTATGCACACAGAACACAAAAGGCCACACAGAACCCACCAGGGAACTCCCATTTTTTTACCCAAACAGTCCTGCTTCTCTTCCTGTAGGCTTCCTGGAGTGGTGGTTTTCACTTTAGGGGCCATGCTATCCCACCCCACCACCCCACAAGCCTTTTACCTTAGTAGTCCCAAAACATAAACTAGATGGGTATGGTTTCCTGCATGTTTTGCTTTTTAATGGTCATTTCCTGCCTTATGCAAGTCAGAGGAGAAGAATTTAGTACACAAGCCAATTGACATTGCTCAGCCTTTCTCTACAAGGCCGATAAGTCCTGTGGGCTGGTTTAAAACATCATGTAATCCCATGATTAAATGTAATTGAAATCCTGTAATTACATGATTTGTTGATGACATTAAAACAGGATGGATTAGTTGACCACATAGCTTTTTAAGTGGAACTTTAGAAGAAGAAAGATTCGGATTTGCCAACCAAGTTTCAACAGCCACAATGGAGGGGCAGGATCTGATGCTCAAAGCTTTTCTATGCAACATGGTAAAAGTTAAGGTTTTTGATTAGATTTTTTTTTAAAGTCCACAAATAAATAGAATAAAGGACTCTACACAAATAAATAGAGTAAAGGAGAGGTGTGTGTTCAATCCATTCTTTGCCTGCTGGTAGACTGTAGTACATGATTGTAGGTGTTATATAGTTAGATCCAAATGCAGAGCTTAGAAAAGTAACATTTTCCAACTGCTCCTCCCTCTGGCCATATTGGCTGTGGAACTCTGGGAGCTGTAGTTACCCAGAGTCCTTTGGGACTAATGCAGGCTGAACTTAGCCTGAATGAATTAGGTTCTTACCTGTGGTGTCTCCCTTTTGCCCCTTTTGGCCTGTAGGTCCTTGGATTCCATGTGGTCCTGGAGGCCCAGCTTTCCCAGGGGGACCCTGTTGGCCCCTCACTGCGACTCCTGGTGTTTGACCAAAAGAAAAACTTATTGACTATATTCCTCCCCACAAAAAGCAGTCCTTCCTATGAAAAGCTCATCTTCTAGACTGAAGCACCATGTGTTCCACATCATGTATTCAACACATGGGTGTTGCTGTTTAGTCGTTTAGTCGTGTCCGACTCTTCGTGACCCCATGGACCAGAGCATGCCAGGCCCTCCTATCTTCCACTGCTTCCCAGAGTTGGGTCAAATTCATGTTGTTTGCTTCGATGACACTGTCTAACCATCTCATCCTCTGTCGTCCCCTTCTCCTCCTGCCTTCACACTTTCCTAACATCAGCGTCTTTTTCAGGGACAACACATGGGTAGACATGTGCTTTTGTTGATATCATTGCAAACCATACCACTGTTAATTCCCTTCCTGTTATATAGTTATGCCAAGAACCACAATCATGCTACCTGGGTCCCCTTTCTCTCCTTTGGTACCATCTTTCCCATCTCTTCCAGGTAAACCATTGAGTCCTGGGGTGCTGCAGGCCACCACTGTGCAAGTGTTGGAGTCGAATCTGCTTGTTTCAGACACTGCTGCTAATGACAGTGATGTTCCCAGCAGAAGGGCTGCATAAAGTCGCAGAAGATGCATTGCTGATTCCTGAGACAGAGGACAAGTTAAGAAGAGATTGCTTGGAGCATATGCTTTACAAGATTGCTTATCATCACTTTGCTGTTGTCCATGACATAAAAGCCTCTTCTGAAGTGGAAAAAAAAGGAAAATGAGGAAGTATCAGCAGGAAGAGTGTTTTAGCCTTATCCCCATCTGTCACTGTTTCCACACTGAAAGGGAAACTCTAGAGATGAAAGATTCCTCTACATGTAGTTTCTCCATGTGACTGTGAATCCTGAAAAATCGGGGTTCTTTCTTACATGGAGGCATTCCATGTGTGGTGGACATTCACCTTTTCAAACTGTCCTTCATGACAGACGTGGGGTGGAGCTAGAAGTCTCTCTCTCTCTCTGCTCATTGTTTCAGGTCAATTTTTGAATGCCTGCATAGAGCTAAAACAAAAAACTAATGGGAAACAACTGTGTTTTGGTCACAAAACTACAGGTAGATCTACATTAAATGTTGCGAGGTCCATTTTGAGTGGTTATGACTTCACTCAAATGGGCTGTGGTTTTGAGGTTACTACAAATTCTGTTAAAGATCTTTACTGTCTTTACAGATCTGAGAATCCTTTGGCTCAGAGACACAACAATGAAATAATTAGCAAATTAATTTAAACATATGCATCACTTCCAGAAAAAGGGGCAACATTTGGAGAAACAGGCTTCTGCAGTAAATCACTTGTTAGACGAGGAACCATGAATGTAAATCAAATGTGCATCCAAATGCATATCTGAATGCAGATCCCATGTAGCCAGCAGCATTACTTATGGCTAAGCATTTGAGCATTTCTTTCCATGCACAGTGTTGTAGAATAAATCAGATTTACCTCTGTATAGAGAGAGGTGGATTTACAGACATGTGCTACATATATGATAAGGCAATGGCCTACATACAGTTGCTACTTCTAATTAGAGTAGACTGATTGAATCAATTGCTAAATGATTAATTAGCATGTGTGCAAATCCCATTAACTCAGCATTATTCTACATGGGACCAGCAACTGATTTCCATCATTGTGTTTCGATCAGTTTGTTCACTTTTGTACGCAATTTTACAGATTAAAAAAACACACATTAGAGATGGGCACAAATTAAGTTGTACAAAATACTCTAGGTGTAGAGTAGGTGCCACATATTCCCAACTCCCAGCCAACTGGCCCTCTCACAATCTGTCACATACTGGATTATGAGTGGGCTAGCTGGCTGGGAGAGAGAAACACACAGCACCTGTGGTACCACACAGAGGACTTCATACAAAATGCACCACTTAATTTGTGCCCATCCCCCACACGTGCAGGACAAAAATGAGTTGTAGGGAGTAGCTTCTGGAAGGCTTCTGTGTAACCTGATGATGAAAAGACACAAAAATGCAAGATAAAAAGTATACTGTAACACATAAGTACTTTTTAGAAGCAGGGATATCTCAATGCTTTTAATTGTTGGCTCAGAATATTTAGTGCATTAAGCCATGAAACAAATGGAATCATTTATTATATTGCTCACCTACAAGTGATGTTGTGACTGTACTATGTTGACGGATTCTGAACATCTGCTGCTCCAGCAGTGCAGTCCTCCCCCTATTTCAGAGATATGTGTGACAGGTTCAGGCACTGCCCTCATGTGGAAGCGCTGTCCATGAGGATGAAACCAGAAATATGTATCTAGCTCTGCCCCTTCATTCATTGTGCACACCCCACTGCATGGGGGGGAGGAGATGAGGGAACAACCTCTGGAGAACAGCCTCCTTTGTCCATGGAAGCTCTCCTTGTGATATTTGAACCCTGGAAAAATGTGTGTCACAAATACAAGGGAGAAAAGACTCTTGTCTAGAAATAGCTACCTTTCAGAAAGAGTGGGCAAAGAGGGTGCTAAAGAAGACAGGAGCTAGCACACACATCCCCCTTACTAACCTCCTCCTTGTGTATAGTGCATGTCCCTAAGGAGAACAACCAAATTGGGCTTATATTTCTTTGAAAAGTGTTATACAGGCAAACCTGTGTACTTAGTTGAGACTAGGGAGGTGTTTACTATGACCTGTCATGCCTACATGTAGATATCTCCAGCTGCATTGCTATGCAGATAGGAAAGTGTGGGTGCATTTCCATAAGCAAGTTGCAGACTGCATAACAATGGAATTCTGGATGGTGCACTCCCTCCCACACACAATTAGGGTAGATTCATTGAATTAATGGGGCTTACATTACTGTTGGCTTATTATTTAATTGACCTAGTAATTGATTAAATTGTTCAGCCTTAGATTTAATTGCTTGTGTAATCTGAAACCCCACAGAAGCATTCAGTTATCCTTCATTCCGTTGTTCTAAGTACATGAAGACAGGCAGTTGGATAAAGAACCCTATTAAAATGAGGGTGATTAGAAAGCAAAATAATAGTTTTCATCCACCATTAATGTAAAACAGAATTACTTACCAGTCCCAATCCCTTTCCTTTATCAACTGCAGGGATTCAATTGGTTTGAAGAAAGATGGAGACTGACCAAGAAAGGAGTATATTTCTGTTCTTTTTAGAGATTAACAGGAAAAATTGCATGAAAACACACACTGAGGTAAGTTTGTTTATCTTATCTCTGTTCTTGCACAAGGTTGGAGATTTCAGCACTGGTCTTTTTACTGCATCATTTACTGGCAGTGTGTGTACTCTTTTAGAACAACTTCTTTCCCAACTAATTTACTGGAAAATATGGACAAACAGGCCACCACTTTTCCAGAATGGCTTCTTTGAGTACATAGATCTGTTGGCCTACGATAAATTATAGCCACACATAAATGTTCTGATTACTGTTGCTTAACATTCTGATGTGTTATTTTGGATCACCTTTCTTTTAATCTCTCAAGGTATGTGAAACTGAAACTTACTCTTGGGGAAACCATCTGTGTGCACGGTTGTTCAAACAATACGATTTCCAAAAAGAGCAAGGTTTAGATCCACTTCTGATCTGTCAGTGCCGTTAAACAACATTCTTTAATGTCCTGAGAGGCCACAAATTCCTTTCCAGAAGGTGAACAATAGTTTAAGAGTGTTTAAAGTGGTTTAAGAGAGATGAGACGTTCCAGCAGCTGCGAGTACTTGGCTTGAGGCTATTTTGGAAAGAGAGGCGAATGGTGACTGGTAGTGTTTCTGTAGTGGCTTATTTATTTACAAATGTATGCTGTATAGCAGAGATGAAAGCAACTCTGTAGATGGGCAGACTCATTAACCCTATATCCCTGGCCCTTTCAGCTTAGAGCTACAATCTCAGTTCTCTTCTTACCTCTCAGTCTCAAACCATATTTTATTTTTCACTGCCCCAAATAACCTGTTTCTTTTCCTAAATAGCTCCCACTTTTCTAACAAAAAGTCAGTTTGATACTTTTCTTCAGCTGGAGATACATGTGCTCTGAAGGATTTTCTTCCACAGTCCAAATCATCAGCTGAAACAGCGGAAGCTGGTATGACTCCAATCTCATGAGGACAGTGAATCCACTCCAGGTTTTAGTTTGGAATTTAGGAGTATCCAAGGTGCTGAAACCTGTCCCTCAACTAGGTTCTGAAGCTTGGATAGCTCTTTAAAAATTCAGATTAAACACTAAAGCAGATTCACCACACACATGAATCTGTCTCTTTCACTGCAATGCAGTTTTCCTCAGACTGGTGCCTTTCACATTTGCATTGGACTAAACTTTTCAGTATCCCAGCCAGCATGGACCAAGGTGGAGGGACACCAGGTTGGGGAAGTATACGTAGTGATTCCACCCATTTTGAGTCTGTGTGTATACATTTATGTTTGACTGCCTATATCAGGTTTGTATATAAACAGTGCCTGGGTTGTGGATGGTCCTGTGTGGAGTGCTCATGAGGTTGGCAGTTGAGTAGCTGATTGGTTGGCATGATTGGAATAATGTGGTCTGGGAGTCAGGTGACAGTTGAGGAGGACAGTTTACAGGAGAGAAATCCATAACCAGATTAGCAGGAGGGAGCTGATAAAGTCCACCCCTCCTTCCTGTATTATTTTAAATCACAAAGATTAAGGACATTGACATTTACACGGAAAGTTTTATTTCTTGTGATTGACCCTTTGTGTCTCTACATACATTTCCACTGAATATGGAATTCAATTCAAAATGGGAAATAGTTGGCAAAAACTTTATAGGTATTATCAAAATCTTTGAATATTGTATTGTCAAAGGCTTTAATGACTGGAATCTGATGGTTGTTGTAGGTTTTTCGGGCTTTATTTTATTTATTTATTTATTTATTTATTTATTTATTCGATTTTTACCCCGCCCCTCTAGACAACATCTACTCGGGGCGGCTTACATCAGTTAAAACAAGTTAAAAAAACATATAAAATGCATGTGTATATATCATTCTCTTACCAGTCCTAAGTGACAACGGAAGTATTGTTCTATTTCATCTTTTGGACTTTTGTATTTTCAAGGTTCAGTATTAGCATTGGTAGCTAGAGAGGACTGGCAAGTATTTTCCTTTATTTTTCTGCCAAGCTAGTCAATGGCTGTGGAATAGTGATAATAGTGACCAGACTGCCTCAGCATGGTGAGTAATGCAAAATATTTTGAGCTCTGTTCCTGGGTCTTCACCATGCAGTTTCTGTAATGTTGACTTTTTTGGACTAATGCCTCTTTCCAGAGTGACTGTGAAACACCATGATGGATGACAGGAGACACATCCCCAAATAGTTTAGCCTTACAGCTCCAACAAACTTCACCCAACTTGGCCAAAGGCCAGAGTTTGAGGATGTCAGAGATCAAAACATCTGTAGAGTCAAATGTTCCCCACTCCTGCGATACACCAATGTCCAGGATGAAGTCTATGTTAGACATTTAGATAAGATAAAATCATATGGTTCCCTCTGGTTATTCTTACCAGCATTCGAAGGTGCTCTAGAAGTCTACACAGCAGTAGCCATAGCACCCACTTTGGATCTTGTTTTCTCTCAGGCCAAGAGCACATCTGTGAGCACTAGAAAAGCCCTTTTGTGTACAGTGCAACCTGACTGAAGAGCCCATTCAAGGGAAGTATATGCCAGCAAACTCTCCTTAGTTCCTCAGATAGGACAAGAAGTACAAGCCTAGTGCTACAGCATGTTGTTTCCTTTGAATGGGAAACAGGGCCGGACTGGGACCAAAAATCGGCCCTGGCATTTAGAGCACACAGGCCCACCGGCTGTGGGGCACACAGGCCCACCTGGCTTTGGGCCAGGACTGGCCCTATGGACCCCTGAAATGCACCGGGGGGATTTTGAGCGAGGTACTCTCACCATCAGCCTGGCCTACCTCACAGGGCTGTAGGGAGGAGGATAAAACTTGGGAGGGAGCCGAGGATATGAACGAAACGAATAAAGAGAACCTCCCTGTGCAAGAGGAGTGTATCTTTTCTGCCGCAGCGCATCCTAAGGAGCAGGATAAGAAGGCAACTCGTAAATGGGAAACCATGGGATATTTGGTTATGTCTGTGTTGTTTAGAAATCTATGGATGAACTCTTGATTTCCCATCTCCACTCTTTCCTAGATGGTACTAGGACTCACTGGCTATGTTGTTTTAAAGAGCACAATGGACACAAGTGCATGTAGTTAACTTTTCTCTCTCCTGTCCCCTCCCATTGCTAGTCTTTTTGTATGCCAGTATTGGGCTCATTGGGCTAAGGGGGAGAGCAAAGGAGGGTAACTCACTGGATTTCTGTTGTGCAAACACTGACAGCTGTGTTGCAAAACCTCAGAAAAAACTACTATTTCCAATCTTTGCCTGACCAAGGACAGGACAAAAGTTCCCTCCTCGTCTCAAGTTTTGCCCTTGAAATCTGAGGCAAAGGGATGCTGTTGACCTAGCAACTTACTCAGGAAAGTCTGTGTGACATATTCAGCATTGTCTTCCAGTAAGAGGGAACAGCTGGGGAGAGGGTGTGACGTTCTCCTCTATGAAGCATCTACTTTTTATGCCCTCACAAAGGTTCCAGTCTTTGTTCCCCTCCCTGCCCCCAGTAGATTACCTCTATCCACAATATGAAAGACGTTTGTCCAAATACTTGTCTGGTAAATGCAAACAGAACTTATTTATTGAAGTGTAGCAATGTTAATAATAATCACAGATGTTCTTCAGTTGTTCATTGTACACAAGCAAATCATTCACAGGTCTCTCTATACATACTTTCTTCTTGCCATATAATTAATTACCACCTTCTCTATCTATTTATCTTAACCAGCTTAGCTCTTTTTCTGACTCTGACTCACTCTCTCTCTCTCTCCTGTCTGACTCTTGACTAATTCCTCCTCTCACGCTCTGCCTTTTAACTTCTCTTGGCTCCGCCTCTCAACAACATTAGCATACAGCATGAATAATACATGACTTACACCTCACAATGGGTGGACGCTACCGGGGGTCCCAGGAAGAACAGCTGGGAGGTTGTCATTGGTACCCTTCCCGCACCTGCTGCCTATGAAAATTGCCTCACTGTACTGAAGGGTAGGGCCAGGCCTGTTTGGGTTTACAAACTGACACAATCTCTCTAGCTTTATTCAATACTATTCTGACTTTAGTGAGTTAGTGCAATGCAGAAGGAAAAGTGTCTGCTTCCAGTTACCTCAGAATGTATTTATTTTCTCAAGAAAGGATTTTACTGGTGTTTGAATACAGGCAAATTAATTGTAAAAATATAACAGTTAAGTAGATGTTTGATCAGCTAAGAAATATTTAATCAGTTAAAAGTCATAGTTAAAATTGATACTGTTTCCTCTAAATTAATATTCACATACTATGAGCTTTTCTCCATTACAGGGGAAGTCATTCCACAATCCATTTTCAAGCATCTCTACACAGTCCTCTCCACCTGCATCATTTGGTTCATTTTTTGACCAGTTCGTAAATCCAATTGTTTCTCCACCTGGATATCTAAACGTGCCTTCTGTTTGTATATCATTGATTCCAAGGATTATATTCTCATTATGGGATTTCCTTATTTCTAGCAGAGCACGATTCTCATCAGCGTTCCTGGGAGAAGCAAGCACACCACCAGCTTGTACACATTTGGCTTCTGCAGTCTCATATGCGCCCCTCAGGCCACTGGTGTGGAATACTTTTTCACCAACTCTTATGCCATTAGGAAGACGTAGGACTAAAGTTAAAACAAAACAAAACACAGAAATACCATGAATTTATTTTACATCACATACTGGCTCCCACACAGTTAACTACAGGACTTTGTGAAACCTGTACAGAATTGTGTCAATTATTTTTATTATTGTGTTGAAGAATCATAAATATCCCCCTACCAAGACCCATCTGCCTTGGTGACATTACACACGGCCCATTTGATTTGGACTAGATCTGTTGGCACTTTTATTAACTGTACTTTTAATATTGTCTAGGGTTCAAGCAGGGTGTGTGCATGTGCGTACATGTGTCTTTTGGTTTTTTTTTTGGTAGAAATATGGAATTCAATAACCGGGACTCTTTTGCTTCAGTTTACATTCATCCTCAAATTTGCATGTACTTCCCTTAAGGATATGGCTAGCTGGGCCTTCCTGAAAGAGGCAAAATGAATTCTAAACTAGCTGTTAAGGAGAACATGCATTCCCTGCAAGCAACCTATTTTCTCTCCAACAAAAAAAAATGTCTTTAAAGATGCAGAGATCTCCTCAGCAACAAAGCTTGCCAAAAGTGTCTGCATTTACTTTCCAATGGCCAGTTGAAAAGCAGAGCACACTACATTCAAGATGGGTTTGTGAGGTAAATTGTGAGCTTTGACGAATGGACTGCATTCACCACTTGAGATGGCACTTTTAAAATGTGGTAAGGATATCATTCAGGACCTGTCCGGATAGGTATATACAGTAGATCATTCTTGGTGAGGCTTGCTGTGAACCCAATTATGCTGTCTACACCCATTTCTACTTAGATCAATCCATCTTGCCCTTTTAAAAGCTGTCCAGCTCCTTTCTGGCACAGTGCTTCTGGGTTTTTCTTGGTAAAATTCACACTGGTGCTAATTATCCAGGTTGTGTAGCCCATATGGATGTTTAGTTTGCATCAAATGGAGTAGTGTTCAGTTTTATCAGAGTTCACCAGTTAGGTCTTTTCTCTTTTGATTTCTGTCTGGTAGAACTTCTAGAATGGAGAATTATGGATTTTATAGTCCAAAAAACCCAAGCCACAATAGAAGCAGACCAGAAATTAGCAAGGAGAAGTGCAGAGCAATTGTGAGCATATAGTCAGTAGATAATTGTTTTGCATCCCTAGTGATTCCCAACTTTGGTTCCACAGAGGTTCTTGGACTAAAACTCCAAGAAGCCTTCACCAAGAAGCTGTGGTGGCTAGAATTTTTGGGTGTTGTAGTCAAAGAACATCTGGGGAACCAAGGTGAGGAACCACTGATCCAAACAATACAACCAGAAAGGATTTTTAGGGGAAACCTTCAAAGTTCCAAAGATTTATTTTGAAGCTTGGCATGAATGCTTGATGACAGCGCAGGCATGTCAATAATTAAATTCAGTCACCCATCTCAAAAGTAAGTTTTTAGCCAGACTTTAAAACTCCCAGACTTTGCTAAATCAAAGTATATGGTAAATATATTTGTGCTATCTTCTGAGTTACTTTCACTGCTTTTCCAAGCAGCTTCTTAGTATAAGCTGTAATTGTGTACCTACTTGAATGCAATGAACGTAGTATATACAGAACTGTGCTCCTAAGCTTCCAGATTCAGATGACTGCAAAATGTAATTTCATTTTTATTATGATATAGAATTATCTGGCAAGCACTTTCAGAATACTAATATCCTTTCAAAACTGCTGTCATTTTAGTGACTATCAGAGTTACAGCCTGTACTGTTCAGCATTACCTTTCAACATATCTTTCAAGAGAAAGAAAGTCTACATTGTAGTAGCAGTAGTAGGTTTCACTAACAGGTTTCTGGCAAAATGGGTTGAAACTAAGCAACAGGCAAATGATACAGTTTTCTCCATTTCATTACATGCAGGACATGCAGCAGTTTACCTTTCACATGTTTGGTGACTTCCTCTCTCAAAGCATGCAGCTGAGTGTGCAAATCCTGCATCTGAGTTTTAAGTACCCTGAGCTCTGAATGAGAAAGTGTTTTTGTTAGTCTTACAATATTTGCCAAGGCGACACAATATCTTGCGTTAGAAGCATGCTCACAGGCATGTGTTGAAAAAGCAGATCCTTGTGTCTCAACTAATCTTTGTATATATGAAGAAGGGCAATCCTGTTGTTAGTGGCCTACTATTGCTGAGCCACTACAGAGGCCCAGACATAGTGGTAAGATATGCCACCAGTGCCACCTTGGGTTTCATTACACACACACACACCCTCCCCAATTCCCAGCAGCACCAGGGAACTAGGTCTAAATACTACAGTGGTGCCCTGCTAGATGATGACCCCGCAAAATGACAAATCTGCATGATGATGACTTTTTGCAATCGCTTCGCAAAACAGTCTTTCCTATGGCCGATTTTCGTTGGACGATGTTTCGGTCCATGCTTCACAAGACGTTTTTTTCCCCCTGTACCAATGCTTCGGAAGACGATGATTTTTATAGCTGATCACTGGATTCGCAAAATGGCTTCCCTATGGGCAATCTTCGCAAAACAGGTGTTTTCAGAACCTATGCTTTGCAGGACAATTTTTACAGCTGATTGGCGGCTTCGCAAAATGGCTTCCCTATGGGTGATCTTCACAAAACAGGTGTTTTCGGGACCTATGCATCGCAAGACAGCGATTTTTACAGCTGATCGGCGCTTCACAAAATGGCTTCTGTATGGGCGATTTTCGCAAAACGACAACTATTTTCCCCATTGGAACGCTTTAAACTGATTTCAATGCATTCCAATGGGGAAATGCTTTTCGCAAGACAATGTTTTCACTAAACAGCGATTTCAATGGAACGGATTAACATCGTCTTGCGGGGCACCACTGTATTTTGATTTCTTACTCTGCCCCAGATTTCCCTGGATCACTGTGGGAAATTTAGATGGTGGCTCAATACACACATTCTCTGCACTGAAATGGGGACACCAGAGAGCACATTGCTCTGTGCCCTCTTTATGCAGAGATAACTTGAGAGATTTTATCTCGCCATCCCCTTACTTTGAGTCTGTTTAAAATTATCTCCGCATCACCCCCCCGCCTTCCCAACGTCTGTTTATCCTGGAAGGAAATCTGGCATCTAGTGTAAACCATAAACTCCTTCCCCCTCCACCATGCTACTTCCACTTCTATCCCTTCTCCCTCCCTTGCCTCAGACCTTGTTCTGCTTTCTATGACTGCTGGTGAAGAAGGTCCTCACCTCAGCCCTTCAGATTGCCAACTTTAGGCCCATGTTGCAAGATTTGTCTAGCAGAGGGAATCGTTCCCTCTTTTACATGCTAGTCTTCTACCTTGACTTAAAGGGTGGATGGAGATTAACAAACCTGCAACACTTACCTGAATCATCACATTTTCCAGGTGATCCTGTCTGTCCTGTGGGACCCTGATCTCCTTTCTGGCCAGGAGGCCCGACTTTCCCTGGGGGACCCTGAATTCCTCTTAATCCTGACCATCCATTAACAGGATGGGTAAAAGCAAGAGACAAACATGGTGATAGATCAAGATTTCCTGACATCATGACAGTTTTTGAATATTATATTCAGCATAGTCACAGACATATCATATGGTACATTGTAGTGGCAAAATCTATGATCTTTATTATTTCCCTTTTTAAATACTCTCTGGGGCATTTCAACCTGTACAGTAACCTTTCTTGAGATCAAACAGGAAGTTGATGAGAAATGTGGTTTTCCTCCAGGTAATAAATTGTCTCTCCTACAACAAACTTCCTTAGAAATACATGTGTCAGCAATTGGACTGGCCTGTATCTGCCCTCCACTGGCCAATCATCAAACAGAGCTTATTGATTGCAAGATAGACACTGAGGAAAATTATGTGATATGACAAACAGGCATCTATAATTGCTTGAGGAACACCTCTTCTAATAATGCGTTAAACACACTCCATTTTGATCCTGAGATATGGACACAGATAGGTCAAGTGGGACACATTTTTTCCATAAATCAGATGTTTCTATCATGAAGAGACAGTTCAGGTGATACAGTAGCTGGCAAATGAAGACTGACAAATGATGGTACGTAGGTGTATTTCTCTCTCTCTTGCTGCCCACCCCACCCCCCATATGCATAAATGTGTATAGAACAGGATTCCTCGCAAGACAGCCACCGAAAATGCCCCCCCTATGGAGGATCTTTGCTGGACGGTGGGTTTTTAGCCAATTGGAATGCATTAAACGGGTTTTAATGTGTTTCAATGGGTTTTTAATTTTCGCATTACGACGTTTTTGTTCTACAGCGATTTCGCTGGAATGAATTAATGTTGTAATGCGAGGCACCACTGTACCTCTTGATGCACTTTGTTTTAAGGGCACAATGCAGTGGCTGCAGATTATCCACCCTGTTCAAAACCCATTGGCCAGAATCCTATTGCTTATATCCACTGTTATAATTAAAATAGCATGAATTGCTGTGGTAAATTGCTGCTAGTTATGAAGATGGGTCTTATATTTCTTGTTGCACAGCAATGGTGTGATTTGGTGCGCAATGAGAAATACTAGCCTCAACTTCTTCACTAGCAGAAATTTGACACAGCAGTTAATGCCATTTGATCTACACCAGTAGACTTACGTAATAGGATTATAGCCTTTGTGTTCTTGTATTCTTGCCCCAAAACCTTTGTATTGCTGAACATTGTCTTGCTACTTTCTGCCTTGCTTTCATGTATGTTTGGAGTGCCTTGAGCACTGGCATACAATTACGGCTCTCTTTCCTCCTCTCTTCAGATCTCTCCACAAATCCCAACACTTCCAGAAGGTTTTTGACAATACCTCTTAGTTCTCATCCATACCAAAAATAAATGTGTCAATTAGAAGCTGAGGACATATTCTTTCCCTATAAATCATCATGTCAGTTTTCCTTCCTTTGGATCAGATATTGATTCAATTCCTTGAAGTGCCACTAAGTACCAAATAATGATACCTGGTGGGAGGAATATTTCAACTAATAATTGTGTGCCATCCAGTTTATTCTGATTTATGGTGACCCTTCTCAGGATCTTCTGAATATTAAAGTACTCAGCGGTTGTTTATCATTCCTTTCTTCTGATGGTACTCTGGGATCATGTAGTTTGCCCAAGGCTATACAGGCCACCTTGTCTCCTATAAGACAGAGCAAGGAATTAGACTCCTGACCCAGGGGCTCCACCTCAGAATGCTATCCAGCCAGCTGGAGAGAATACTGAACTTCCTGAAATCTACAGACAGTATGAAAAAGTGTGGGTAATCCTAGTAATGGGCAAAACAATATTGTATCTTAATACAATTGCAGACCATTTTGGAAACAGTGGCTTTTTATATAATTTGTTTCCTTCTTAGTATTAAAATCAAAATCCTCAAGAGCTGATTTGGAAGACTTCTGCTCTTGACTTCAGTTGCGTTATCATCAAATTTATACATTTGTTATAAGGCATCCAGTCTTGCCCATCACCCCATGATGTGCTCAGACTGCAACCAAATTATAGTTATGAAACCTTTGTTTGATCGTTGTGGATTTGTTTTATATATATATCATTTCAGTTGATCAGTTCAGTTCAGTTCCTGATAATTCTTGAGCTCAGAGCTTCTTTTTAAATAAACTGGTATCACTATTCTATTCAAATTTACTTGGTCACCCTGCTTTCAGGCAGGTTTACTCTTATGTAAATGACTCCAACTGACATCTTAAATATAAAGGCCATATGCTTTAGAATCATGCAGTATGATTGTCCTTCTATGCACAGGAAAATAGTGACGGGGAGATTCAAAGCGCTTAATGGGATTTACTTCCTAGAAAAAATTAGGTAATATTTATCTACATTATGTGCTATTATGTGAATAAAGGCAAATACGGTGTGGCTTTTCTAACAGCCCTGTTTCAACTGTGTCTCCTTTGCAAAAAGAAATATGAGTTCACAGTTTTGCAAAAAAGAGAGGAAAATTTATACATTGCACCTCTCCTAATCACAATAAGCACCATCCTATTATTTTGGAATGACGGTACCTTGTTCTCCCTTTTCCCCCTTAGGCCCTGGGAATCCATCTCTGCCTGGTAATCCATTAACTCCAGGGGATCCATCTCGGACAACACATGTATTCATTTTATCTTCACATATGCATTGGTCAGGGTCGGCTGCCCGCACAAGGACCACCAAACTTAGCACAATGATGGCGAAAGCTTGCAGATCCATTGTTCAGTGGTCTTTCTTGCCTAGAAAAGAACAAGGATAGTAATAGACCCAACTTTCCAAAGTTTTCAAACCATGTCCTGTGGCAGCCTAAGATGTTCCTAAGACACTCATAAGGATGTTCAGTAAATATAATAATGTAGTTAATGGCCAGATTTATGTATTGATGCTATTATTTATATAACATCACTGTCAGCTGCAGCAGTGTAAAGTGATGTTTTGAATTCTTTGGTTCAGGTAAGGTCCCGAACAATCCACTATCTTGAGGACAAGGTTTCCCAGGTTGGGTAGGAGACTGGGTTTTGGATTCTTTTCCACCAACAATAAGTTGTGGTAGGCCTTCTGAGTAACATTTGTTGTCTTTCTTTTTTGGAGAGTACTTTGACTTTCCCATAAAAGAAGAAAGTCCAGACAAGAATAATCATTTTCTTTGAAATATATTCTTCATGTTCCTATATATAAAGCAAGCTCCTAAAGCTTAGAGTTAGATGTTTGATGTTTGAAGACCCTGCCCTAGAGACTTATGTTTGAAACATAATCTTGTAAGCATATATTTTATTACTGGATGGAAGTTACTGTATGACCCATGTACTGTATCTCTATAGCAGTGCTCTGACTATTCTCATAGTTATTAGTATAGTCTATAGCTATACTATATATCTCCTTCTGAGGTCTTCTATATCAGAATGCATTATTACATTTATTTGGGATGAAATATGTAGACTTAGACTACCCATGCTTCTCATCACTCAGTTCTGAAATGTAAGAACATTCACTCCAACATAGTGTTCAACATATTGGCTAGTATCTTGTTCCATAGCTCCACCTATGCAACAGGGACGATGCTGCTGACAGCAACAGATTGCCACCAATTAAAAAGATTTTTATTTAATTTTTCAATTCTAGGATGCATGGGACTTGCACACAATAAGACACAGTGGCATAAATCCCGAAACTGAAAACTGAAATACTAATCAGTGACAATCTACCACTAACGATCACATCCTTCCCATTGCACTGGCAGAGCTGTGTGAGAGGATCATGGGTGACAATAATAATGAAATTCAGAGGTATTAAATAAAATACGTACAATTAAGTTCAACATCACCTTCTTAATTTTACTTGAAACCCCTTCATCTAGTCCAAAAATGCAACCAAATAAAGAAGTGAGTTCATTTGAGAGGTCTTAAGTAATTTTTCAGAAAACATTTTCATTTGATTTTCAGAAGTTATACCCTAGGATTTTGTTCATGTTCTCTTCTGCCCTACAATATGTCACTTTCCCCCTTGCTTTGGTCTTTCTTGCATAATCCCATTCTCTCCCCCCCCACACCTACTTCCAGTATCAAACACTAGACCTAAGAAAACCTCTCACCATTACAGAATAGTCTTAGGCCAGAAGGAAACATCAGAGATAGTCTGTGACCAGAAGAGGGAGATGCTTAATGAATATGAGCATCAAAGTGTCAAAGAGTGAACTTCTCTCACTTCCAGGATTAAGCAAACCAGCTTGTTGTATTCGGTGATTGGTCTTCAGAGTTTAAGCATGGGAATCCTCTGAAGTCTCATTTCTAACTTCCGTTAAATATTTAACGGCTGGTTGCATTTCCTCAACTCTTCAGTTTCTCAGTTGATTATAGGTAATCTTTAAAAAGAATCATAGAATTTTGGAGTAGGAAGGGGCCTATAAGGCCACCAGGTCCAACACTTTTCTCAGTGCAGGAATCCAAATCAAAGTACTGTATATTTGACAGGTGGTTGTATAATTTTCTCTTGAATGCCTCCAGTGCTGGAGCACTCACCCCCCCCCGAGGTACTTGGTTCCATTGCTGTAGTGCTGTAACAGTCAGCACTGATATTCAGCCTAAATCTGGCTTCCTGTAGTCTATTATTATATGTTCTGCCCTCTGGGATGGTCAGGGATGTATCCTGCCCCTCCTCTATATGACAATCTTTCAAGGATTTGAAAAGTCTATCTTCACTCTTCTGCCCCCCACCCCCACCCCCGGGCTAAACATACCCAGTTCTTCTAGCCTTTCCTTGTAGGGCTTGATTTCCAGTCCTCTGCTAATCCTTGTTGCCTTCTGCTGAACTTGTTCCTCTTTGTCTGAATCATTCTTACATAGCACACAAGATGAGTTTAGGAGATTGTTTCTTTCTAACTTGCTATATGCAAATTAGAAGGAAATAATGAGTGAAAGAAAAACAGGGGCTCTAGACAATCCCTGGAAAATAACAAATGGCAGTCACATTATTATATTTGTTAAGTTATAAGTGTTAACTCTGTTAATAAATAGAATAAGAAGTACTCCCCCCCGCTTCCCGTAACTTATCTAAAACAAACATATTGGTTCTATATTTTGTAAATATTTTGTCAAACTCATGACCCTAGATTATTACTTACCGGCACCCACTTTTCTTTGATTTGATGAAAGAAATCTGTGATAATATTGTGTGTCACACACTTTAACCAAATACATGGCAAAACATTTACTGTGGCTGGCTGTTTGCGGCTTAGTCCTTGCTATTTACTTTCCTGACATGTGATACGGCCTTCAGCATCACTTCCTTTCTATACCTAATTCCAAGTGGGACGTCACATTATGGTGCAATAGAATACTAGAGGAAAACAGAATCCTCACTGTCTTGTTTCAGGAAAAGCTTTGTTTCCTATACTATAAGGTCCTAAGGGTTAGGGAGTGAATCAATAGAGGATCTTACCAGATTATGTACACTCTTTTTCGGCCTGTGAACATTGCAGAATCATAGAATCATAGAAAAGTGAAGTTTGAAGGGGTCTACATGGCCATCAAGTCCAACCCCCTGCTCAATGCAGGAATACGATCAAAGCATATCTGCCAGGTGATTATCCAAGTTGTTCTTGAATGCCTCCAGTGTTGGAGCACTCACCAACTCCTGAGGTAACTGGTTCCACTGTCGCACTGCTCTAACAGTTAGGAAGCTTTTCCTGAGACTCAACCAAAATCTGGCTTCCTTTAACTTGAGCTCATTGTGTCCTGCACTCTGGGATGATGGAGAACAGATTTTGCCCCTCCTCTGTATGACAGCCTTTCAAATATTTGAAAAGTGCTATCATATCACCCCTCAGTCTTCTTTTCTGAAGGCTAAACATGCGCAGTTCTTTCAGCCTTTCCTCATAAGGCTTGGTTTTCAGCCCCCTGATCATCCTTGTCCCCCTCCTCTGAACTTGTTCCAGTTTGTTAGCAACCTTCTTGAAGTGTGGTGTCCAGAACTGGACACAATACTCAAGGCAAGGCCTAACTAGTGCTGAATAGAGGGGGACTATCACCTTACTGGATTTGGAAACTATACTTCTATTAATGCAGCCTATAATCACATCAACCTTTTTTGTAGCTACATTGCACTGTTGGCTCCTATTTAGCTTGTGATCTACGACAATTCCAAGATCCTTCTCGCTTGTGGTTTTGCTGAGCCAGGTATCCCCCATCTTGTAACTGTGCAAATGGTTTCTTTTTACAAGGTACAGTACAGTGGTGCCTTGACTTGCAAATGTCCCAACATACAACCATCTGAAGTTACAACCAGCTCTGCCCACAAAATTTTGCTTTGACTTGCGGCTGGAGCTTCGAGTTACAACCAGAAAAAGACAAGGAAAAAAGGCGTGGAATTCAAATTGCGAACCCTTGGTGGCAAAGAGGATGCTTCTTTGTAGCTCTTTTGCCCCAGAAGTTAGAGAGTGTGAGATCAGAGGAGGCTTCAGACCACCTGTTAAGGTAAGGTGCTGCTTTCTGCTTTTTAAAATCTGTTCTGGGTGGGGTTTGCAGCGTGGTTTTGGGCTGGAGGCGGTTATGTTTCTGTGCTGTGATGGGTCTTGCGGTCTTTGTTTTTTGGTTCCACCCCATTTCCGATGGGTCTTGAAGGGTTTGTTTGCTTTTTGGGTCCCCCCCCCCCATTTCTGATGGGTCTTGCAGGGTTTGTTTGCTTTTCTTTTTCTTTCCCCCCTCGGCCAGAACAGAAAAAGCGTGTTTCCAATAGGTCTTGCAATTTTTAAAATGATTTATTTTCTTCGGCTGGAATGGATTAATTCCCATTCCTATGGGAAATGGCACTTCGACCTACGACCATTTCGAGTTACGTCTGCTTCGACCTACGACCATTTTGAGTTACGTCTGGAGTTCTGGAACCAATTAATTTCGTAAGTCGAAGTACCACTGTACTTTGCACTTATCTCTGTTCTCTTGCTTTCGGTCCAGTGCTCCCTCCTATCAAGGTCATTTTGAATTTTTTTTCTGTCTTTGGGGTACTAAAACAAAGGCCATCCGGTTCAATGCTCCGTGCACATGTACAGTTTGCCAGGTGTTCCCAGAAGGCTCCTGGGAAGAACCTGGTGGAAAGTATCATACTACTTGTTTCCATTCTGAGGCACGTAGAGGCGTACCACCTCTGAGTACAGAGAGATCTTGTTCTGCACTGTCATGGCTGGCAGACATGGCTAGGCTATTCCCAAGAGTTTGAGTATCTGACCCTTTAAAACAGCCATCTGTTCTAGTAGCCCTCATCACATGTAGCGTGACTTGCCCAAGCAAAGTGTACCCTACAAAAGGAAACACTTGCTTTCTACTAGCCAGATACAAAAGTGAGGAACTATTATCATCCAAAAGGCTGAATTCAAATTCTGTGAATATGTTGAAGCCCACATATCAGTGACAAATAGCTTAACACACACACACACACACACACACACCACACACACACACACTACACATCTATACCAAAGCAAGATCACCACAGGAGCATGTCACAGCAAAGGACGTGTAGCTTCTTGGGAACTCCAGAAGGTGAGATTTGGATACAGGAGCTGAGGCTTCCAATAGTTGACATAAAGCCTACTGCAAATCCGTTTCAAGAGAGAGTTCGATACTTGTAAGAGGCAGATAAATCATTCACACACACACACACTACACATCTATACCAAAGCAAGATCACCACAGGAGCATGTCACAGCAAAGGACGTGTAGCTTCTTGGGAACTCCAGAAGGTGAGATTTGGATACAGGAGCTGAGGCTTCCAATAGTTGACATAAAGCCTACTGCAAATCCGTTTCAAGAGAGAGTTCGATACTTGTAAGAGGCAGATAAATCATTCTCTTTATTCCATCCAACTCATTGTTTATATGATTCCTTCCAAGGCTGTCTCAATATATTTTGCTGATATTTTATCCTGGAGGAAAGCAGGTGGCAGGACACAGCTATCCCAAGTTGTATTGGCAAGTTTAGAGAATAAGGTGCTGATCTTCTACTGCTAGAGTGACTGGTCTGATTCCCTGCGTGTCTTACAAAATCTGGCGTAGAGTAGCCTTTGTTAGATCCTGTTGTAGAGATAGGGGCTGAAAATGAATAAGAATTTAATGTGGCTGGTGAATGAAAAAGAAATTCTCATATAATACACAGGGCAGCAGCATTGTTGCAGAGGTGCTTCGACAATACCATTGTCTTCCAAAGCCCTTACTTGCACACAATGCATGTGTTTGGAACTGCCACACACTCCACATTTACATAGTGCCATATAACTTAAATCTTATTTGCTGTAACACTGTGAGGGTTCGATGTGTGTAGGGGCAGTCGGGGGAAATAAAGAACTGGGTACGTTCAAAGGCTCAAACTTCTCTTCATTTATTGTAACTGGAACCTCAACAGGAACATCTAACGGAACAGCCTCAATATTCTCTTGAGGCTGTGGCTTTAATGGAGTCCAAACGTTGTTAACAAAAGGATTAGTATTGTCAAAAGTCCAGGGTCCAGATAATACCTTCTCTGGATCCGGAGCCTCCACTTCTTCATCTGCAAACTCTAATAGTGGGAGGGTCTCTTCTTCACCACTCCAACGCCAGATGGGTGAGTCCCCTCCCGGACTGGCCAGCCAAGGTCCGGGTAGACCCCCATCTTCTGTAGTTCGGCAAGATGCCATGCTCTTTTCTTTTCCAATTCCCTCACCACAGCTTCTCTCTCTTCCCTCAGTCGTCTTTGCCACTCTTTTGCCTCAGTTTCGCCCCAGTAGGAGGGTCGTGGTCGTTGGCCTTGACGCCTCCTGCGTTCAGCTTCTTCATGTGGGACTTTTACTTGCTCCCACTTCCCTGTCCATGGGTCTTGTACCCATAACCATTCCCAACCGCCCGGGATCTCTTCCCACTTTCCTCTTATATCCCTTGTTCCCGGGATCTCCTCCCTCCCCTTTCCTGCCAAACTCTTCCCGGGCTTCTGTGCCCCGGTTAACTCTTTCAGCGCCTCCACCAGGTCACTGGTATCTACCCCTTTGTCGTTACACCCCTTTCCTTCAGGTACCGCTTCCAACTCCGCGGTATCCACCTGTTTGTCTTCTCGTCTAGGCGGGGAAGGAGGAGGGGAGGTCTGGCTAGACTGAATCCGCGACGGGAGCGACGGCAATCCTACATATGCCTCTTGTCTGGGGGCCTCACAAACACTAGATCATATTATACGTCTGCTAAGTTCAGCACTGTCAGCTTGGCTTGGTTGCTGCTCTCCTTATCTTCAGAAGAGATCTCCTCTTCCCTGCTCAATTACCTGAGGGTTATTTATTTAAAAGATTTTTAATGTATTTTTTCAGAACATGTTCCTCTCAGAAGGTAGTTTACAAAAATCCAAATCTCAGAAAACAAGAATAACAGCTATAACTGTTGGAGTTTATTTACAACCTTGCATGCTGTCTTTAGTTTGAGTGACTGGGAGGGATTTTCTGAGCTGGGATGATTGTTTATCTACCCAACACAAACTAAACATTCCTTCCAGTTTTTGAAATTCAAAGAGTCCCACCTCTCTGCTGAGTGTTCTATCCCTCTCTCTCATTGGTTGGTGGCAGTGGTTTGTTGCTGTTGATCTGTTAAGTTGGTTGCTAGAATGATGTGCAGTAAAGAAAGCAGTATATACAAGTAGGTGATTTCAAATAACTGTAAGTAAAGAAGTATTTTTACAAGTGTCTCAGAGTGAATCATTGAAACTTTAAGAGTTGATGAGAAGGAGGTGGACTCTGAGCAATGTTCCCTCTAATTGTCATTTCCACTGCATGGGAACCTCACCCGTCTGCATGTGTGTGTGTGGGGGGTCAGGGATTCATCCGAAACCAGGAAGCAAACAGGCATTGATCTTGGTTGCTGCTGTGCAGCACTGATGGAGTTTTCTGCACCAGGGAATTTGAAGCTATTCTCCTTTGTGGATCTCTGTACTTAGATTGTGTCGCAAAAAGTGAATTTTACTAGAGGTTTTAAATTCTGAAACAATAACATACTTTACCACTTTATAACTGAGGCCAGTGGAATATTTAAAATAAGAATTAGATTGACCTTGTTATTCATTTATTTTGAAATATTTATTCATTATATTTATTTGTCAAAATTATTTTCATCAGCCCATGAATGCCTCCAAAGCAATTCACAATCAAAGAAATATAGAAACGTTCCTTAAAAGCCAGATAAGAAACAACTAATTGTGAAAGTCAACATTATTTTATAGCAGGTCAGCAACACTTAAAGCCAATGTTAGAACATTTAAATCCACTTTTAGAAGCCAAACAGCACACGAATCAAAAATATTTTGTAGCCCCCAGAAGCTCATAAAGAGTGGGTCCAGCAGCCTGACTTCCTTTGGAAAGGAGTTCCGCAACCAAGGTGCAGCTACCAAAGAGGTCCTGTCTCAGGTACTCACCTGTGTACCTTGACAAGGTTGTGAGACATGAGACAGGGCCTACATTGAAAGATCTGAAAGTTTGTGGAGGCACATACAGAAAGAGGCAGTTTTCCAGATACAGATAGATGCCCTGGCCCACAGCCTTTTAGGTCTTTGAAGATAAAAACCAGCACCTTGAATTGTGTTCAGAAGCAAACTGGAAGCCAGTGTGATTGTTTCATGATATGCAGCATATGGTCTCTAGCACACACACCAGGCACTAGTCTAGGCACCATGTATTGAATTAGCTGTAGCTTCTGAACACTTTTCAGGGCAGATCCATGCAGAGCTAGAGTCTAGATAACCAGAAAATAATGCGGGCATAAATCACTGAGACTAAACCCATCTTTCTGGGGAACAGGTGTAGCCGGCACACCAGCCAAAGCTGGGCAGAGCCTGACTGCAGCTGGCGTATGGTCTTCCACTAGCATAGCTGGGCAATGGAAGCTGGTGATTGATTTTATGGGGGCACTGAACCTGCTTGAGGCTTTTGTCCAGATTTTACAGGAGCTATTCAAGGTGTTTGATCCTGTCCTCCAAATAGGTTCAGTGTCTTGATTTGCTCCTTTAAAGTTCAAACTAAAACTAGGAGTGGATTTACCTCCATGAAATCCCAGTCACCAGCAGCCACAGCTTTTGGATCCAGGAGTAACCCCATACTGCAAGCATAATCCTTTAGATTTAGCAAGATTAAGGCATTTCTTCTGACCAGTAGGGTTTGTTTTATCTAGATTAAGCCTCTATTTGTTAATTTTCATCCAATCCACCACAAAGTCCAGACAGGGACTCAGAGTATGGGTCCCCCCCTCATCATCATCATCATCATTATCATCATCTACTACTACTACTACTACTACTACTGCTGCTGCTGCTGCTGCTGCTGCTGCTGCTGCTGCTGCTGCTGCTCTTTCAGAGAAATGCACTAAAAGTCATAACTGTTCATTAGATTTATATAAAAATATCAAAGTAAAAGTGACATATTCTATTGAGAAAGCAATTAGTTTATAGCTGAGCATTTCACACTTCTACATGCACAGAGAATTTGTTATATAGAGTGAGATATGGGAAACCAACATGTTTACAATCATTTGATTGACTCCATGTTCAAAATGAAATTTGATATGATTAGAATAAACTGTACTTTCCCCCTGTGCACTGCCTGTTTTTGCAGAAATGAAACAAGAGTTTAGAATTCACAAATGATTAACCAATCAAGTGCGCAATCTCTGTCATGCCATTTGCCATCTGGATGCATTTCTACACAGTCTTCATTGCCTTTACTATTTGGTTCTCCTTGCGCCCAGTTTGAGTACTCTATGACGCTGCCATTCAGATCCACAAACTTGTCTTCTTCTGCCATGTCGGTGATTCCAAGAAGAGCTTTTGCATTATGCCATGTCACTATTTGTTGGATGGCACTGTTCTCGGCAGCATCCCTTGGCACAGCAAGCGTGCTGCCCATGTGCGAGCAGCTGGCACGTCCAGCATCGTAGTCACCCCTGGTGCCATCTGTTTTGAATATCTTTTTCCCCACAATCACACCATGAGGGGTAAGGAGAACTGGGAGGAGACAGAATTGCAGGGCATTCAGATCTTAGGCTTACTTTTGGCCTTCCAGTCTCATGCACATTGATGGGAAGGGAGGCACTGCAAATCTCAGTGAAAGCAGAAAGATTATAGATACTCAGTAATGCAGCTATGTTCTTGTGCAGCAGAGGAAACCAACGTTCTACAAGGCAATTCTAAAAATGGAGGCAGCTTTGGATCCGCACCAAATACTGTATGGCACAGATGTAGCCAACAGTGTATTCCTTCTGTGTGCCAGATTTGGCGAGGGTTTTGTTGGGGGGGGGTGTCTGCTTTTTAAAAAGTTCAAATTTAAACTGTTTTAGCCCCCAGATTGGAAAAAAATAAGGTGAGCCTAAATGTTGCCAGATTTAAAATACTGTAGCTCATATAAATCGAAAAGACCAATCTTGGTTATCCTAAAAGAAAATGGTTGGCTCCATAATTCACACATGTGAAAAAGCAGTCCTGACAATTACTTTGTGTTTGGATGAAAAGTGGTTAATTGAGGGGAAAAAGAAGTCAGCTTCTGGGATTTTCCCTTGCTTGGTTTCCCTTTGGGAATGATAGTGAGCCCAAGAGCCATCTTGACAGATGCCATGAGTGTTGACAACATCCAGGCTGCCCTTTGCGATTTAAAGTCTGGTACTGTATCCCTGTTACTGTTGGCAATGCAGGCACAATATTGTGCAGCAATATTGGGCCATTTTGAATCTGAATGCAGAAGCACAATATCCCAAATTCATAAACCAGAAGTTTTCTTAAGGACTGAAGTCTCAACTAGGGCTGAAAGAGTTACAGCTGGACTCAAACACAGTTACATTTCAAGCAAGCAGACATAAGTCAATCATTAATTTTACGAGCACTTGTTTTGATCTTTGTTTTGTAATTTCTTACAGTTATGGCAATGTTAGCAGGACACTTCTACTCCTGCCATGTATTCAAATGAAAAGAGTGTTTTGTATGCAAAGCAGTCTGTAATAACTTACACACATGTGTAAGTGTTGGTGTGTGGATAATCAGAATCATAGCTGGTTCGTGAGTGGAACAGACCTCCTTATTTTCAGGTGGGGTGCTGTTCCTTTAGTTCACAAACTGCTTCACAGGAAAGTCTCTGGCACCTTCCCAAAGAGACCAGCTTTTTAGTCCTTCAGCTAACTGGACAGATTAGACTCTGTGGGTCACAGTTGCTCTTTAGCCTTCAGTACCAGCTTCACTCTGAATATTCTCAGCTGACCTAACAGGCCAATTGAAACACATTTTGTCCTATAAATCCTGAACATTTATGCCCCTCCCAAATTAAGCAACTCGACCTTCTGGATGACCACTCAGTCACCTTTGCTTTCCCTCTTTGATTTCGAACCTGGCATGGACTGTCTTAGACCACATCATTTCTCTCTGACTCATCGAACTGTGTTATCTTGCTCCAGAACACAATTACTGGCCCACCTTTTATCTCGGTATGCCTTTGCAGGAACAACATTTCCCCAGTTGAGATTAGATTTTAATCTGAGATGGGTATGACAGTGTGAAAGCGACATATAACATTATAGTCAGAAGGTGTATCCCGAGAAGCATCATCTCAAGGATAACATTTCAGTGGAGGGAATACACACATTACTTTACCAGTCATCAAGTACAGGAAAATTATGTGCATGCATGTGAAAATCCATCCCTAAGTCTGATTCCATTCCTTGTAACACTTGGTAAATTGAGGATTGCTCCAAATTGCATTTTGTCCTATAGTGAAGAAGCCATCTGACTGATCATCAATGCATTCAAATGGCCATTTATGAAACATTTATTTAATGGAACCTTGGCAGTTGCCCTAGCAGTTCGAAAGCATGTAAATGCGAGTAGATAAATAGGTACCACCTCGATGGGAAGTTAACGGTGTTCTGTGTCGAGTCGCGCTGGCCACGTGACCATGGAAACTGTCTGTGGACAAACGCTGGCTGTATGGCTTGGAAACAGGGATGAGCACTGCACCCTAGAATCAGACACGTCTGGACTAAATGTCAATGGGAACCTTTACCTTTACCTTTACCGGCAGTGGCCTAGTAACAACCCAATAATGTTTGGGATGGGCATTCCATGGAGAACAATTGGGTAAGTATAGATGGGTGTTACAGTATAGCCATCAGCGTATTGGGATAAATAAATGATTTACTTAAGCAGCCCAGCTAGATAGAAGACTCTCTGTCTACTGCTATGTCAGTACAAGTCATTGTTCTGGGTATGCCTCCTTTGATTAAGACAGGAATGTAAATCTTCACTTATTACATTCTCGCAGTTTCCAGAGAAGTAGTTGTGCTAGTCCATCTCAGAATACTAGCACAAAGAAAGTGGGAGAGGCAAAATATTGCAGCAGTTGTAGATGAAAAGATTTGTTTCAAAATGGGCTTTTGTGGATTACAGTCCACTTCTTCAGACACAAGGAATGCCAATACAGGTCCCCGTTATTTATTCCCATGGCGTTGAGAATCATGGTCACTTGAGGACATGGATAATGGACAACATCTTTTCTTCTTCTTTGTAAGTGTCGGAAAGGCTGCCATACAATTAATACATTTACCAGATAGTTCAAGTCTTCCATGGTACATATTTAAAGACATAGAGTACACTGACTTAGGTGGAGAAGTTGTTTACTCTTCACTACACTCACAAAGGATTGTGTTGCTGCAAACTGCACTCCCATTTTCTTAGTTTCACATGGGTTCTGCCAGCTCCACTCCATTGGGTGCAGATAATATATGAAGAGACAGATTTTTTTAACAAAGGAAGGGACTATTATGGGGTTAAGTAGATCGGCTAATTAACACCATGATAATCCAGTTCTCACATTAACAAACCATTGTCACTTTATCTAACTCTCTACCCCCCCAAGAGACAAATATAGGGAATATTTGTTGGTACTACTTGTGAAGAAGTAGACTTGAATTATGAAAGCTCACTCTGAAATTAATCTGTTCATCTTTAAATTGCTGCAATATTTTTCACTTTCTCTTTCCTCCTGCTTTATTTTTGCCCAAATTATAGAAAAGGAGAAGGAATTTATGATCAGAGATTGTATACTATGTTGCTCCAAAATTCAAACATTGACTACATTGGGATCAAATTAGTTAATTGCATAGAAAATGCAATTGGGTAAGTATAGATGGGTGTTACAGTATAGCCATCAGCGTATTGGGATAAATAAATGATTTACTTAAGCAGCCCAGCTAGATAGAAGACTCTCTGTCTACTGCTATGTCAGTACAAGTCATTGTTCTGGGTATGCCTCCTTTGATTAAGACAGGAATGTAAATCTTCACTTATTACATTCTCGCAGTTTCCAGAGAAGTAGTTGTGCTAGTCCATCTCAGAATACTAGCACAAAGAAAGTGGGAGAGGCAAAATATTGCAGCAGTTGTAGATGAAAAGATTTGTTTCAAAATGGGCTTTTGTGGATTACAGTCCACTTCTTCAGACACAAGGAATGCCAATACAGGTCCCCGTTATTTATTCCCATGGCGTTGAGAATCATGGTCACTTGAGGACATGGATAATGGACAACATCTTTTCTTCTTCTTTGTAAGTGTCGGAAAGGCTGCCATACAATTAATACATTTACCAGATAGTTCAAGTCTTCCATGGTACATATTTAAAGACATAGAGTACACTGACTTAGGTGGAGAAGTTGTTTACTCTTCACTACACTCACAAAGGATTGTGTTGCTGCAAACTGCACTCCCATTTTCTTAGTTTCACATGGGTTCTGCCAGCTCCACTCCATTGGGTGCAGATAATATATGAAGAGACAGATTTTTTTAACAAAGGAAGGGACTATTATGGGGTTAAGTAGATCGGCTAATTAACACCATGATAATCCAGTTCTCACATTAACAAACCATTGTCACTTTATCTAACTCTCTACCCCCCCAAGAGACAAATATAGGGAATATTTGTTGGTACTACTTGTGAAGAAGTAGACTTGAATTATGAAAGCTCACTCTGAAATTAATCTGTTCATCTTTAAATTGCTGCAATATTTTTCACTTTCTCTTTCCTCCTGCTTTATTTTTGCCCAAATTATAGAAAAGGAGAAGGAATTTATGATCAGAGATTGTATACTATGTTGCTCCAAAATTCAAACATTGACTACATTGGGATCAAATTAGTTAATTGCATAGAAAATGTTTTAAAGAAATATTACAGATGGCATTTTAAAACTGGAAAATACTTTGATCGTGAGGCATGTATACTGAGATATTAAATATGCATGATCATAATAGTGACAATGTTGATAAGATTAAGAGGCCAATCCCAGTTTGATGACACAGGAGCTGATAAATAAAAATCAGAGGGGGAAGGTACTTGCTGAATGAATAATAGAAGTCAATTAGTTTAAGATAGATATAATTAACATATAAAGCAATATGACTAATATACTATAAGCACATTTGGCCAGACATGAAACCTAAGGTTAGACATGGGTATGTGATTTATAAATTTTAGAAATTATGATAAATAATAATATTGGATGTTTTGTTTTAAGGCATGTATATGGAAATATCAAATATGTATGAACTATAAGAAGGATTATGCTGAAAAGATTAGATACATAAGGGGGTACTGTCAGAGAGTAGCCACTGCACATAATCCTCCTCTGATCTCCCAGGAGATTTACAGATAATAGATGATAAAAGCTCCATGCGAAGATCCCGATAACAGGTACAAAAAAGAAGAACATGACCAACTGTTTCAACTTTATCACTATTACAGGGGCAGAGACAATCTGATGCAGGCAAACCTCGAAATCTTCCCTCCAGAAGCTTAGAAGGTAGTACGTTAAGCCTAGCTAGCGTAAAAGCCCTTATGGCTTTAGATGACATAGTGCTGGCTAAGTACGAGGAGGTGATAAAGGCAGATTTCTTAAGGAAGTTATATTTCCCTAACTGGCCAACATGGTCCTGTAATTCAATGTCCCATACCCTTAACTTCACCGCTTTAAT